GCTGGAGATGACGGAGAGAGGGCCCGGGGAGGAGCTGCCCCTGCGGAGGCGCCGGGCCGAGGGGCTCCCGAGAGACGCGGCGGAACCTTCGCGCCGAAAATAAAGCCTTTTGCCGTCGCCGCTTTTAAAAAACGGAAGCGGTTACACCGGTTTATTTCTGTGAAACGCTGTGGTATCTACTGACCGGTAAGATTTGTTAATTATAAAAATCAAAAGAAGAGCCAACCGAATGATCCCGCACCTGCCATGTTAGGGTCTTTCCCCGCTTTTTCTGCTCTTCTGCAGTGTCTTCAGTCCTCACTGGGGTTAAGTTACCCGTTTCTGTTGGCAACGTGCTGTGATGACATAGAACGTTTGGCCCATGTCCACGCAAAAAGGAAGTTAAGAAAAATCCTGTCAGCAGCAGGAAAACAAATTCTTTTGTAGCTTGCCTTGAAAGAACAGAAGTGCAAATGCAGTACGTGAGAATCTAAATGTTAATTTGCTATTGTTTAGACTGTGGGAGTGGAGTGCCTTAAATACTAGGCTTTTTATTACAGACACATTAAACCCAAAACATGCAAAAAATGCAGTTATTGTCCACAGAAACTTACGCATAGAATCATAGAATGGTTTAGGTTGGAAAGGACCTTAAAGATCATCGAGTTCCAACCCCCCTGCCATGGGCAGGGACACCTCCCACCAGACCAGGTTGCCCAAGGCCACCTCCAGCCTGGCCTTGAACACCTCCAGGGATGGGGCCTCAACAACCTCTCTGGGCAACCTCTTCCAGTGCCTCACCACCCTCAAAGTAAAAAATTTCTTCCTAATGTTTACTCTCAGCCTCTCCTCATAGGAAAGGTGGTCCAGCCCTCGGATCATCCTCGTGGCTCTCCTCTGGACACGCTCCAGCAGGTCCATGTCCTTCTTATGTTCAGATGTAGGACCTTGCACTTGGCCTTCTTGAACTGCATGAGGTTGTCTTGGGCCCACCTCTCCAGCCTGTCCAGGTCCCTCTGGATGGCATCCCTCCCCTCCAGCGTGTCCACCTCGCCAAACAGCCTGGTATCATCGGCAAACTTGTGAGGGTGCACTCGACCCTACTGTCCATGTCTGCAACAAATACAGGTCCCAGTACCGACCCCTGAGGAACGCCACTCGTCACTTCTCTCCACTTGGACATTGAGCCGGGGACTGCAGCTCTTTTAGTGCGACCGTCCAGCCAGTTCTTTATCCACCAAGTGGTCCATTTGTTGAATCCATGTCTCTTCAATTTAGAGACCAGGATATCATGTGGGATGGTGTCAAACACATCAAGAAGTGCAACAATTAAAGCCACAATAGCAGCATTAACTCAGCTAAATCATGTGTTACATTTACATACATTCCTATATATTACACAGTTAAATTTTACAGTGTAAACTGAATTACATAGGGCAGTATTTATGTATATACATACAGCAATACTAGAGGTGAGAAGAACAGCTGCTGGCAAGAAGTCTACAGGGAATAGTTCTAATAGTATTGATGTGTATTTCTTGTGTGAACAGGGTCAAATTAATGCTGCTGCTGCAAGCCAAAGAGCCTTTAAGGTTTTCTGGCTCCTTTTTTTCCTAATATTGTACAGCCTTCAGCCAGTCTGAAACATGACTGGCTTGTAACCATAATGGTAATGCACATTAAGAATTTAATGATGTCATAACATCATGATGCTACATCTCACAAATTATTTTTCCAGTACATGTACAGTAAGTCAAATCCACTTGTAAAAAATACACTTGTATACACTAATGCATTCCAGATGTGACCACCTCGCCAAGAATTTACAGCCTCTCAGTGTTGTGCGACTCAAGTAAATGTATTTCATTCATAGAAGTCTCAATGACAAAAGTAACACAGAGTTTTGTTCATCTTTCCCTCCTTTATTATTTCAAGATGTTTTGTGGAACTTGTCTTACACTATACGGACTGGACCATCAAGTGGATGAATGTCCTTTATTTGTTTTATTACCCCCATAGACAGCATAAATGGAAATGCCCTTTCTAAACAATTATAAGCATTCCCTGATTTAAAAGTTCGTCAGAATTCGGGGGACAGATGGACCGTATAGCATTCAGAAAAGGAGTAGTTTTACAGTTTTTACAGTTTTTTTTACAGTTTACCGATCAGAAAATTTCAGTAACTTGTTTTCTGATTATAAAAAAATAATAATAATTGCTGGCTTATTAGTGTTGTGCAGAATCTCAGAAGTAAAGCTCACAACTCATTTGTAATTCATGACGCTTTAAAAATCTAATAGTGTGTTTAACGGTAATAGTATAGCATAAGAGATTCACTCTGATTTTTCTATTGAGGAAGTCGGTTGTGATACACTGAAAAAAATGTGTACCCTGGAGTCAGAGAATTAGTGATACATGTATCAAATGTTTTGTTCTTTTTGTATTTAACACAGTTCAAACAGCAGAATGTTTGACATTCTGCTTTCAGACAGCTATCAAATGTCCGTTTGGATTCTCAGAGAGATTAAGCAGAAACATATTAACCAATAATTAATTTCTCCTGAGAGCCCCAGTCCCATATTTAGCCTAATTTCATTTACTGGTCTTCGTAAAATATATGGTTCAACTGTAAATTTTGTCTTCTACTTTTATTCAGTTTAAACAGTATCAGCTGTGATTTTATGCCTGATTTTTCCTAATATGTGAACTTATACAACGTACGTTTTCCTTTCTAGCTGGAAGGGTAGTATAGAAGTTATATGCTGAGGTCTAAGCCACCCTTTCATTACAAAGAAAGCAAAGAGACTGTTTAAAAGTTACTTGGCTAATATTCAAAGGGATACACAACTTTTCTATCGACGTGAAACAGCTGGTTAAAGTTGAAAGATTTGGCTACTCTCATACATAGGTCTTGCTTATGTCACAACGTTCAGTAATTATCCCAGCATTGATTAGTACGATTCACACTATATTTGAAGGTCAGTGGGGGCACGCCTGCTGCTGGCATTACTCGACAGTGACAGTCGCCTAGACAGAGAGAAGGGCTTAGGACTATCACGGTTTCTAGTATGTTTAGATTCTGAGCTCACCTCCCCTGTAGAGTCAGGAGTGTCTGGCCGGCTAGAATTTTTTACATCAGCATTGTAAGGAGGTTGGGCTTTGTTTGCACTGAAACTGCTTTGTCTTCTGTTGCTGTTCTTTGGAAGAGAATTTGTTGAATATCCTGCACTCTCAACCATTGCCGAACAGTTCCAAGACGAACCGATTCCGTGATGTCTTCTGAAACCAGTAACAGGAAAAGTTGTATCGGGTTGCAGCAACGTTTGAGATGGCATTTCAGCAAAGCTTCTCAAGCACGTGCTCGAAGCTATATCTGCATCCTGAGTGCCAACAAGGAAATGTTTATTTTCAGCTTCTTTTTGGGCACCACGCACTTCAGTCCCAGGCCTGCCAAACAAGCCTTCGTTATTATTTGTACTGGTATTTTGAGTCTGATTGTCTAAAGCATTTGTAGCTGGCCTCTTCTTTGGTGATTTATTTTCCTGATTGTGATGGGTGTAGCTGCTGCTGCTTTCTGTATGGTTATTTTGCACAGACTGAAACATGGGAGGAGAATTTAGAACTGGATAGACAGCAGTGTCAGTTTGCTTTTCCATTAAAAAGGTATAACCGCTAAGTGCAGAAGGAACGGGTTTTTGAGGGGTGGTGGATATTCCCAAAGAGGAATGTGGTATCACAGAATATTTCTTAGATTTGTTTACATAGAATTTGTCCGGGTCATCCTTGTTTTTATTCTGCCCGCAGAGTCCCATTTTAATTTTTCGGAATCCTAGGTGGATAATTTCTAGAATATTTAAAAGCAATGATACAGTTGCTATTGATTGCATGAATAATATGAACACTGTCTTTTCTGTTGGTCTAGATACAAAGCAGTCAACTGTGTTTGGACACGGATCTCTCTGACATTTATAAAGGGGATCTAGATGAAAGCCATAAAGA